TGACTGGTAGTAGAAATTGAAAGAGTTTGATGTGGTACTTTTTGATAAGTTGGAATTGGTTGATAAGAAGGTACACACGGTTGATGTTGATCGACTATTGACTCTCTTCCAGTCGTTTGATAATGAGAATCTAATGTCGAACGCACATAGAGTTTTACGCAGAGTTAATCACACTCACACACGCTCCAGATTCCACTAAACACATCTCTCCTATCCATTTTATTTGCTGCTTATGACTCTTTTCATCTACGCTTACCATTGTTTTGTTGTAGGAATTGTGCTATTGTTGGATGTACATTCGTCGTTCCTGTAGTTGTAGATGATTGTTGTGATAAATTTGAAAATAGACTAGGTATTTGTTGCTGTTTATTATTTGACGATGATTGCTGAACTTGTTGTAATAATAATTGTTGTTGTTGCTGTTGTTGTTGAACAGCTAATTGTTGTAACTGTTGTTGAATGTGTTTAATTAAATCATTACTCGGTTGAGCTGTTTGAGATGACTGTTGCTGTTGTAACAAGTTAAGTTGAATTTGTTCATTTAATTGTTGATTTATTTTTTCAACTAATAAACGTTGCTGAAAGACAAAAACAAAAATTTTAAAAGGTTACTCATCTTAAAAGTCAAGCAGTATGAAGAGAAAAAAATGAATAGCTTTTAATGTAACGAAAGTGTGTCGATATTAGCATCCCATTGACTTTCATGAACTGTTTTTTATCGAGTTAAACATTAATACGTAGATAGAAATCCTAGTATATCATTTTGTTTTTGTTAATTTTATGCTTTTTAAAGTTAAAACGAAAGTCAGTCGTAGTGTAGCATCGTTTAGACTTTCTGTTGAAAAAGATCTCACAATGAAGAAAAACAAAGCATTTCAAACAAATCATTTTATTGGACATACATTTTTTTTTAAATATTTAGAGATTAAAAAGTACTTATTAGCCTAATTATGAACATTATACTAAACTTTATAGATTCATGACTTCTTATACGTAATTTATCTATTTATATAACTTAAATAAAATGTAGGTCAATTTTTGAAGTAATCTGTAGTCTTATGAACATATGATAACTGAGAAAATGTTAAAAATTGACACAATAAAATACTATTATTTTAGTATCTTGTAAATTCATTCGAAATACACTTCTAATTTAAGAGAATTTCTTTCTTCCGGTATTTGAACACCGATATACTACCACTAATACTACGTACTGTTATTATTTTTTGATGTTTTTTTAAAATAACTGCTTCTTTTTCTTCCATTTAGTTTATTGTGATTATGAGACATTATTAGTACTTCATTCTTTTCCTTCTTTCTCTTGCGCTCTCTCTCTCTTTCTCTCTTTTCTTTGTTCTTACTCTACTCTATTATTATTATTGTCCTATATGCTGTATATATATAGTGTTTTTTTTTTCAAAAAAAAAAAGAAGAAAACACACTATGGATATGGTATTGATTTGTCGTCGTTTAGTAGTAAATGAAAAGAAAAACACTGTAGATGCAAAGTTCTTCGAGAGAACACGACAATATTTGTCACAAACAGGTTCCGCCGTCAAAAAAACATAACGAACAAAAAAATACGCGCGCGCTTTTATTTTTTTTTTTTTTTTTTTACTTATTTTTATTGACGTGTGTATAAAGAGGAGATGAGTCGCTTTGTATGTTCAAAAGAAGAGGAAGGAAGAAAAAGAGGAAAAAAAAAGTGATGAACGCGCACCTGAACTGATAAAAAAAAGAAAAGAAAAAAGAACTAAGAACAGAACTTGTTTTCTTCTCTTTTTCATACCTACTTTTAACTATTGCTCTATAAAATTACGTTTTTGTATATTCTTTGTGTTCAGTTTCACATATCTCTATAGTACAGCAAAAAAAAATTTTTTCATTTCATTTTTTTTTATCAGAGAGAAAAAGTTGACCGACAACACACACAAACACACGTACAGAATTTTTGTCAAACACACAGGGAAAAAAAATCTGTTTCAATTTGTTTTCTAATATGCCAGCACGAACATCTCCTTAGTTTATAAGGTCATTATCTTTGTGGTAATTGTAAAAAAAAAAGAAAACGAAACTTAAGTGTGTGGTCGCAATCGCAAATTTCATTGCATCATCATCATCATCATTTTGCGAAGGATTCTTTAGATTAAATTTTTCAAAATGTGAGAATATTTTTTGAATTGAATGAAAAAAGAAAACAGTTCACTTGGATGGGTGGACCCTATCAAACGAAAAGATAATTAGTTTTAAAATAAAAGTTTGAACCATTTCTTTGTGTTCTACTGATAAGTTTCATAGTCAAACAAGGTCAACTAAACACAAATGATTTTGAATGTCTCATAGAAATATTAGTTACTTCACACTAAAACAAAAAAAAGAAAAAAGTTTTATTCTTCAAATTTTCTCAGTTCGACTTTGAGATGTGCGTTCATATATACATGAACAAAAAAAAACAAATGTACGAACGTTCACGTGTATTCACGCATGAAAATTTTATGGAACTTTATGTATGAAAAAGTATGTCAACTACTCACTACTATAAAATGAGATCATGTGATCTTTTTTTTCCAAATTATGTGCAAATTTTTCCACATGAAAATCCATACGTTTTATACGTGACTACTTTATTTTTTTCATCGTTTTTACGCTGCTCTTTTCGGGACATTGATCTCATTTCTAAATATTTCATTTAAAATCACTGTCGAATCAAAAGAAAAGGTTCGAGATGGTGTCCATCGGTATTCTGATATAGAATATTTTTTAAAACATTTAACACAGAATGAGAGAATGGACGATTATTCAAGAGAAAAAAAGGGCGATTTATGGTTTTTATTCAGTATTTTTTGAATCCTTGTTTCCCTTTTATGATAGAAGCACAGACACATTTTTTTAGAGGAATACAGATGACATACGTGAGTACAATGAAAAATCTGAATTTTGACGAATTGTTATCATTTTTTGAAGAAAAAAAAGGTTGTTACTCTTCGTCTACAAGTGAGAGGAACGAGTCAATCTCATAATATCTTAATTTTCTAAAACTAATAATAAATTCTTTAAATAATAAATATTATCTTTCTACTGATTTTTTTTTATAAACTCTATTTGTATAACTTACGCTACCTGTTCAGGACTGGCTAATATTTGTTGTATAAGAATATTTTGTAGTGCATTTGTAGGTTGTAAATACTGTTGTAACAATGCAGCAGCTGATGGTTGTTGATTTGTCGAAGAATTACTACTCGTTGAATAAATTGCTGTATCATTTGATGTACCATCCAACAGACGAAGTGAATTCTGAAAACAGACAATAAAACATAAAGAATCAAGGATCTTCATTGTACACTTAAAATTTTGGCATATATATTTACACTGGTAGTAGACGAGATTCTGTTCAACAAAAATAATAATAATTGCTGCTTATTTAGTTAGATACAATCTAAGAACGAACAGAGACTACATGGAGTAAAAGACTGACTAATGTTAGGATCTACACTAATTCACTGAAATATTCATTAAAATCGAGTATATGGACAACCTCGAAAAAATCTATCATCATATGAAGAAGAAAAAAAACAGTAGCTTACAAAAAAAAAGTGTATTCATTTATCACAAGGTTATCGGTTTTTTTTTTTATATTTATCTATCGTACGATTCACTTTTAGTTTTTGAACATGTGAGATAATCTTACATAACATTCCCGTAATAATTTTTATTATTTCTAGATTCTAGAATCATCATTGCTCAAATCTTCTACTTTGCTCTTTAATAGAACTAAAAAATTTTTATACGTACATTATTCGTTGTTGGTGAAATACCACTTGCTTGTGGATTAATTAGTCCATTTGTAACCACGGTGGCTGCTGTTGGTGTGGATGCTGATGTTCTAGTTTTACTATTCGATGAGTTTAATTTTGATGAACGAGTAGACGTTGTTACCCTCATAACAGTTGACTGTGAATACGTGTACAAAGAGAGTGTACAAAGAGAAGCTTTTAAAATAATAATAATAAGAGCGATGAATGTTTGTTGTGTTTCATGGTTGTATATATTGCTTTGCTTGCTGAGTATAAAAAAACCTTTTTTTTTTTTTCTTCTCGCTTTTCTTTATTTAAAAGACAAATATATGTGTATGTTATTCTATAACCTAAGAGAGAAGAGAGATAGATATAGAGGAAAAGAAAAACACAATAAACAGAAAGCAAGTTCAACGTGTGTGTACGGACAGAGAATATATAAATAAAGAATAATGGTGTGTGTTGACACTGCAGTGGTTGTATGTACGCTTCGCTCAAAAGGCTAACAAAAGAAATAAAGCAGATTTCTTTTTTTTTTACATACTCTTTCTGTTAGTTTTCTTTTCGAATCAAAGCTTCTCACTAACACACTTTTTTTTAACTTTTTTTTCTTCTTCTTGTTGCTTATCAACAGTTGTTGCCTATGTTTATTATAAGTTTCTCTTTCCCTTCTGTAAACACACACACACACACATACACACATATATATATATATATACAATTGACGTCGGATATATTTGTTGTTGTATTATTATTATTATTATTATTTCTTCTTCTTATATATTCATTTCTCTCTTTCTCTAACGTTCAACTCAATGTGTTTTCCGATACGACGACAGGCTTGTTTGTCCGAATCCTATAATTGTTTTTTTTTCAAACAGAAATGAATAAAAAAAAAAAAAAAAAGTTTCTTTTTTCTTCTATTTAATTTTATCACCATCACCACCACCACATATGTCTCTTTGAAAAATACTGTGTATAGAAAGACGGGGTTAGGTCAACGCGTAAAGAACAACTATTATTATTATTTATATATAGACGAGATAGAAAAAAAAAAAAAAAAAAAAAAAAATTTAATTTTTTTTTAAAAAATTTTTTTTGATAATTTTTTTAAAAAAAAGGGTTTAAAAAAAAAAAAAAAAAAAAAAACAAAAT